TTAGTTTGGAAGGATAAAGTACATCAATTTCTCTGAATCCACATTTCTAGTCAATTTGTTACAGTACCAGCTTCAACAATTAATGATCTCATTTTCCCATTTGTGCCTCCTTTTAAGAGATCTCTGTCTTTGTTTCCAAATGAGCCAAATATCATAAAGGAAAAAAAAAAAAAAAAAAAAAAAGAAATCCCTTTGAAAGCTCACATGCCTAAAGCCAAATGTTTCAGCAATAGCCACAAAAGCTGGGGCCAAATTCAAACAGGTAAGTAGTCTGGTCAGTTTAAGTGCTTGGGAAAAGAAATATCTGCCTTGCACCTGAGACACAGCAATTCTCACCAGTCTGAATTCTACAGAGAAATACCTTTTACCTGTCATACTTCAGGGTTTTCATCATGGTAACTGTTGTTGATGTACAAGATTGCTATGGCTAAAGCTGCATTTCTAATGACAGGTCTCTCCCATTAAATTCAGATGGGCTGAGATCCACACCAGACAGTTAGTATAGATAATATCATGTCTGTACTTAAGACATCACTTATCCTCCAGGGCTAGAAGACAGGTTGTCTGTGAAGCATATACCTACTAATGGCTATCAACAACCTGGCAGAGCAGAAGTCTTTAGCTAGTAAGACTGCAGGTCAGAAACATCAAAGTCTCTAGTACCAAGAACAGATCACAACAGTATGAAAAACATCATGAAACAGAAGAGGTGCAAGAATGCTACGAGCCCTCAACCCTCACCTCAGTGGACCTCCAAAATTCTATGACAGAGGCTGCTGGGTTGGAAAGCATTCTCCTCTTCAGTCATGCACACAGAGGACAATGTCATTCCACACTTTACACTAAATTACAAAAGCAACTCTCCTCTTATCTATCAGATATACTTCAGTATTGACTGCATCATCTTACACAGTTCTGCATCAATGAGAGTGAAGTTTTAGGGCAAAAAGCCTATCTAGCTCATATTCTGAAGAGGCTGCTGTTGACTGCTTAGATGTTGCCTGTTGATTCTGGATAATTTTGTAACATGGACAACAGAGCTAGCTTGTGCTCTAAGGCACTAGCTAGGATTAAACATAGAAAACTGAGCTTTAAATAAATCTCCCATCATTGATCCATTCGAACACTCAACAATACAATATGTTTCATCTTGTTTTAGTTTAAAAGTTCATGAAAAATTCAAAATATTTTATTTACCCAATAGTCCTTGACTGATTTGTCTACATTTAAGAATTTTTTAAATACATACATTATTTAGCCAATACTGCCATTACAGAATAGCATATAAATATTCAGGGACTTTTTAATAAGTTCAGCTTTTATTCAACAGACCATAATGGTTGCTTAGGAACATTTACTAGTAGGAGACCTATAATAACAGTAAGGGAAACACCTTCAAAGGGTGAAGCAGTTGTATAAAACTGAAGAAAGAAGCAAAATACTAAATTTTCCTTCTCCTCGCATGCCTTCAAAAATACAAAAATATATATAGTATGCATTCACATATGAAAAATCGGAAGAGAAAGATTTAAAACAATAAGCTGAGGAAGCCAAGTTGAGAAATAAAAGAAAAGCAATGATAGCTATTCCCATCCCTCAGTTCATAACTTGTCAGAAACGCTACTATCAGGAACTGTACTACAGAAACTATAACAGCAAAAATAACCCTTAGGCTTAGCCAAAGTTAAACTCTAAAATTGTTACTGAATTTTAAATGAACAGCCTGACTTTCAAAAGCACTAGGTATGAATTGCCTGCAAACAGCAAATTTTTCTATATATATAAATTTTCTCCTTGCCTTATATTATTAGGGTGGGACAACAAGTAAGGGACCCAACTTTCACAAATACATGCTTACCTATACTGTTAATTTTCATACCCCATTTCTCTACGACACTGTGATGTCATTGTGAGTTCAGTCCTTTAGCAAACAGCAGCCCTGGAGAGGTACACACACACATATCTGTTAAGCAGGACACAAGGACCACACACTCAAAGTACATCGACAAAGGCTTTCTGTACAATATCTGTGGTTTTGTTTCTTCACCTGACAACTTGGAGGGTCAGATTAAAAAAAGTAAAGGAAATAGAATAAGTGCCTATTTCTCTCCCCATTTTCAGAAAAGCATAGTCAACTTCACATAGAAAACTATGACAGAACAAACAAGTAAATACTGTACTCTGATACCTGCTTTTCTATCATTTTGTCCTTTGGCATTAAGTCAGCAACTATTTTTCTTCTGAAAAATAATATTAATTCTACATTAACACAGAAATAAAGAAAAAGGAGAAAATATGTAAATAGCACTAATTTACGAGTATATGCAAGAGTAATGTAATGAACAGTACTAAGGCAAAACTAAAAGCATTTTATTAAACACTCTAGATAATGCTTATAAGCAGCCCATTATTCTTCCAGCAAATTAATAATCTATGTCTCACTAACAGTATCAGCAAATGAACTGTTTTAGTTAAATTAATATTCATGTTAACTGCATGCAAAATCAACTAATTAAGTAGTCCTAAGTTACAATATTAAGAACATATGTAAACAGTTTGTGATCATTTTTAAGACTAGTCAAGTAAGTTACATGGGATTTGTTGTATGAACTTGGCTGAGTCTTCAAATCAACAGATCACGTTCAGTCGTAATCCAGATACATTCTAATTATAAACCAAAACAGCAAATCAGTAGGGCTGTTGAGTTTAAAGTTACAAAAACAAAAACTCTTTCCCTTTATTCCCTATTCTTTGTCTTCAAAATGCTCATTTCAGCATAGCTTAGAATGCAATAACCTTTTTTTTAAAAAAAAAAGTTTCCTCTTCCCCAATCAATCTTAACAGAAATGTTAAGGCCATTTGTGTTTCTTCATTTATGAAACACTATCAAATTTAGATTAAAAAATCCTTAATAGTGATAAAAAAAATAAATCTAAAGACCATAACATGATTTCTTTGGGCTTTGAAATAACAGTAGTATTTGTTTCTTAATAATCTCATTATTATAATTTTTTTCCTAAGACATCTATAATGACAGTACTGGGGCATCTTATAAAGGATATTTTCCTGTTCCTTAAATTAAATCATATTTGGAACCTAGATTAATAGGTGCCTGAAAAGATGTCAGAAAAAAAAAAACAACAAACAAACAACAACAAAAAAAACCCCAAACCAACAACAACAACAAAAAACACAGAACAAAAGTCAGAAGCTTTTCTCTTAACAGCTCCTGGCAGATGTAGAAGAAGGAGCAACACAAGTAGCCTAAGAGTGTAATGTGGTACACACTGTTCATGCCTTATTCCAAAAATGCAAATGAAACAAAAAATAAGAACATTGAAGTTGCAAGTCAAACACCCCAAAGGCAATGCCAGAATTCAGACTGCCACCAGAAGCACAGTTCAGTCACCTGGTATGTATCCATCATGATCTGGGAATACAGAATCAAAGACAAGAAAAATACTAAGAACGGATGCTGAGGAAGACATTGAGATAAATTACATATGGTGAGCCTTCTCACATGACCTTAGTCCCAGATTCTGTTTCAAAGTTTGGAGGGTGCCAGAATACACTGAACAGACACATCCCTGCTTTTATCAGGTGGTCTCACAACTATTTGACTGATCCTAGGCCACCTGCCTCCATCCCGGCTCTTCCTTAATCCTAACTGCTTATCCCAAATACTTTTGAACTCAGTCACATACTTTGCTTCTTTCACATCAGCCATGGCCAGCCCAACCTCCTTTTCCAAGTCTTTCCTTCCAGCCGAGTTCTAATTCTCTTTCCCAGTACAGCCTCCACTTAGGTTTTCCCCTCTACCTCCTGCTTTATCTTCCTGTTCAGAAGACTATTTTTTTCCACCACTTTCTCATCCTCATAGCTGTAAAATGCTTTCACTGTGGAAGGATCCAAAGAATGGAAGCACCTGTTACTGGATTTTCCAGTTTGGCCCAGTTGAGCAGATTTTAGTAAGAACAGCAAAAGATGTCATCACAGCACACACACCTTACACCACTAAGCATCACATCTCCAAAGAATAGAAGCACTACAACTTTTCAGAAAAAAGGCTACAAGAGTTTGTAAGATTTGATCCTCTTCTAGATTTGGAACTAGTTGAAACACTTAAGACCAAGGCTGTTTTGAAAGAAGTCAGTGTCAAGTGGGAATGCCCTGTGGAACACTAAGCCAAAATATCTACTTCTGACCAAACTGTAAGATGACAGGTCTAGTGATACTGCTTTAGAGAAAAGGAGACGACCAGACAACAACTTGAAATCCCCAATATTCCTTAATTTTGTGATAATAAGCATTTGGCAACCCTGACAAAAGGCTGGATTATTTATGATTCACAGCATGCTCATCAGGGTTGTCCTCCATTAAATGTACACCCTAGTAAGAGATACTCAAATTTCAAAGTTTCAACTGCAATGGAAGGATAGGATTGACATTTAAGTTTGCACAAAATTTTAGTAGCTGTTCCCTACCCTGAGAGCGCTGAGCAATTCCAAAGCAAATGTAACCTTAACTGCAGACAGATACTACTTTTTCAGTAATGGTAAATTACTCAAAGTTTTGCAGTGAGATAATACCACCCTCAACACACAAAAGCTTTTGTCATAGTTCATCAGTAATGAATTTAAATGCATGGGTCCACATAGCTTCTTAAAAAAAAAAAAAACTACAACAAAATGACAAAAATCTACTTTAAATTACAGTTTTCAAGCACACGAAGTATATCATTGTTTCAAGAGTCTTGGTAAGAAAAACACCAACAAAATGCTGGAAAAAAAAATACACTCCCCATGCTATTCAAATTAAACCCTTACAAAGCTGAAATTACACTTCACTGAATAACTGTACTTCTATCAGAAGCACTGATTTATTAGTGTAGGGTAATTTTAAATACTGGGCTAGATAAAATAATTTTGTAAAGAATAAATTAGCTTTGTGAGCGAAGGAAAAAAAAAAAGTAAGTAAAATTGATTGTACCAAACTAAGGTTTTTTGTGATGGCATTATACCCCTGATATTTTATTTGCAAGTGAACTCTGTATTTCAGAAAACTTGAAGAATTTCAAGCTGCTACACTCCAGGATCTGTATTCAAATTTGGCAAATTATTTCTACCATTTCTTTTCACTGCAACAAGCTTTAAGATTAAAAATTAACTGGTCAGAGATACATCGAGGATCTTGAATCATTCATATATGATAAGCAAGTATTGCAGTGGTTAAAGTTATATTGTTTTAAATTATAACCTTGGTTTAGATTTCTAGATTTTAGAGTTTTATGAAGTGTAAAATTGCATGCATTAACCTTCTGCCATGTCTACCAGACTTATGAAAAAGTATTCATGCTTGTGCAATCTATTTCTAGTAAAGGAAAAAAACAAAACAAAACCCAAGCAAGCATGCCTACTTCCCAGTAGCCAAATAAACCTCAGATGAATTAGTGAAAGCTTTATGTGCATAAATTAAAAAATATTAATCAGGAACATACATCCCACCCACATTCATGAGCTGATTGAATACACAAGACATAATATACAACAAAATACTGGCTTCAGTGAAATTAATGTAAAAGAGTTGTAGTCACATCTGATGGCTCCTAAATACATCAGATTTAGTACTTTCCAGGAACTGTTCCATGCTCAGCTAAGCTTGTTGATGTGTATATTATTTAGGACACACAGACCAAATTCCTTCTAATAATGTAAGTACCCCTGTGCTACAAGAGACCTGGGTCATCAAGGGCAATCCCCTGCTGACAGAGACAACATATCACTGAATTCCTTTCATAAGCCTACCAAGCTCCATCATAAAAAAGCTCCTTTTTTGTTAAGCCTTCCAGTGCACTAAACTGTGAAATATGATTGCTCTAATTTTCAAGAAACGTCCTCTAGCTTCATATTAAAGTTTGTGGACTGTTTAACTCCCTTTATTTCTGTTCCAACACTGGCCTACAGCTTGAAGAGTCCCTTTTTGTCTCAGCATCGCATCGTCTCTCCCCCTATTCACCTTACCACTATCTTAACCTACTTCTATATGGCCAATCACTATACACACACACACACACACACACTTTAGTCCCTTCTCAGAAAATAGGTTCTCTACCTCCCCTATCATCTTAAGTAGCCTTTCTCCAGAACATCTGTCACTAACTTCGCATTTTACTTGAACAAGGGATAACTCAGGACTGAAAACAGTATTGTAAGCTAGGTTCCATCAGTGCTTTTTGAAACAGCATTAATATTCTCCCTACTTGAAATACAGCTCCTGACGAATCACATACTATTTGCTTTTGCTGTAGTTGCAGCACTGTTGCTCCCATATCCCACTATAGTCAACCATTAGCCTTCTGAAGGATTAAGCAAGAAAGCACCTATATCAAAGATTTGGAAAAGAAATGAACAAGAGGATTTTGTAAAGGTCTGCCACACCACACTGAAGGAAAAATTTAATTCCTGCAACATTGACTTTGCATGTGATATTCCAGGACTGGAACTAAATATATGCAGCTTAACAAAAATGGAAGTTACAGCCTGCAAGAAAAGAGAATCAGCTTTTATATATAAAAAACAAGCAAACAAACAAAAGCTACACCAAAAAAAGTCTGAACTAGCTAAACCTCCTAGTACATATATACGGTTTAAATGCCTTCAGTATAAGTTGTCTTTCTCTGAATGAATATGGAACACTGAAATAACATGCAAGTTTTAGACCTCAATTACAGCAACCTAACAGGATTAAGAAAAATAAATCTACAACTATATTTTAACACACAAATTCCTTATTGTCATTTTTAGTTGACAAATAACTATTTCAAAGCAAAACAACATCACAGGAACAGCTGGATGGCAGTTTTAAGCTCAAATGAACCAGTGTCACATGCTGACAAGTCATCTCTCTGATTGTTTTTGAATGGCAGCACATGCAGATTTATTCTCTGCCATAAATTAGAACAATTATTTCTCTGTAGTTCACTTTTTACTTCAGACAGTGAGCCCCTGCATATATTTTTAAAGGATATCTTCCCCTTCCTTGATGATAACTTTATTCTGTTCTTCTAGCTCTATGATCCTCTTTTCAAATGACTCCTGTAGAGTTTCCAGACGTTTTTGTGTCATCTCCTTTTCTTCACGTATCCTGAAAAGAATGAGAGAAATAAAATATATGTCCATAACCACAATGCCTGATTTCCAGCTTCTCTGCTTTACAGGTAAATGGGTATCACCCTCTCCACCCTTACACATGTTAGTTCCTCATAATGTTTATTATATTATACCGGGAGATGCATGTGACTATGCAATACATTATTTTCTCAAAGACACTGGCCTCACTAGAGTACGTGCACATTAATGGGCAGCATGGAACAACTAAGTAAGGACCTCAACCCACAATTAGATTTGTGCAGTCTAATTCCCTGCAGCCATAATGAAGATGCACCAGGATCCTTACAAGCCTAGGGCATGTAGACCAACAACTCAAATGGGAGAGCTTAGCTGCTGAGACAGGAAGGAAATTGAAAAACTTTTCTGGTTCTTGATCTATAAACTAATCCTTCTTTCACATTTACTGGTCAAATATAAGTCCAGGAAAGGAATCATTTTTCTCGTTAGTCTTCTCCAAACAAAACACTTCGTCCTCTTCTGGGGATTTTAAAATATCAAGCCACAGGAGTAAATCTTCCTTTCTGTCTGGACCATGGCACCCTGTATCTTGCTGCTCAGCGTAAATAATTAGATCAAGATTAAAAGATGACAATGTGAGAAAGGTTTACAATGATCATTTATTCTGCACCTCAAGAGCAGGCTGTAAAAATAATTATTCTGGTATCACGTAGGCAAGAAGACCATTATGCACAGATGATCCTGTAACTATACTAAAAAACACGGCTTAGAAATCATGGTTCTATAAAAGCTCTAAAAAAATATTAAGTAATGAGCTTAGACTAATAAATATTACTGCTCTGCACTTAGGCAATTTCTGTTGCTGAAGGCTCTTAAAGTTCAGCCTTTTATGATGATGAAACAGCTGCCACAACACAGGTGACAGGAGACCAAAGCAGTACAACTTTCAGAAAACTTCAATTTTATCTTCCTTTAAGTGGAACAATCCTATAGGAAGAGGAAAGTGGGGAGAAAATATAGAATTTATATATAGGCATTAGACTAAACCTTCCATTCATCCCATCAGACTCACATTATTAACAGAGAACTCTATTCAGGGACTGAGCCATCCATTTGGCATCATGATGTTTAACTTAAGAGGGCAAATTTTGTTTTGATATTCCAGTAGAAGATCCATTAATACCACAATTGGGTCTCCCCCCTAGGGTGAACTACAGACAGGCAATACTCCCCAACTTTAAGATCAACCTACAGCCCTTCCCACAGCAGCTTGAGAAGACTGCATCAAGTTGGAAATTAATAATACTGAAACTCACACCTTTTTGCTACAAACCTGGAGGGAGAAAAATAACATATAACATATAATCAAATTCTGTAAATCAGAGTGGCTGGAACAAACTACTAATTGGAAAGCTTCTAAATTACACAAGAAAAGACATGGATTTAGCATAAAAACATTCTATGATTCATATGCCCATGGTCTCATTTACCATCCCATCCCCTGCAGTGTTCAACTCACTCCTAGGCCCCTTTGCCTCCATTCAAAGGCTGTCAAAGGGGGTGTGTGCACACATCAGAAAATAAACTATGAAAAGGGACAGCTATATTAACTCTGGTTCCATCTCAACACCTGTGTACTCCTTAGTTAAGCAGGCAACAAATTTTGGAAACTATCAACCATACAACCTTGCTACCGAAGCAGTTATAACTATGGTGCCTATGCCACAGGCTGCAGACCCAGGATTTTGCATCTAACCCCACCAGTTTGTTTTCTCTGAATCTAGTGCAATCAGATAACTGACCACAGATTATATGACCTTTCTTTCACATAAACAAGGAAAGATGAAAGAATGCTTCCTGTTTCTTAGGGTAAAAAGATACTGAGAACAGAGCATAAAAGGAGGCAGTTAGAAAAGGACAGTGAAGACAGCAATGACCATGTAGATGAAAGACAGACAAGAAACCAGGACAGGGGAGAAAAAAAAAAAAAGATTAGAAGGGAAAGAGAGGCCAAGTATCATCTCCAGGGCACTATAATAAGGAAGGAAGCTTGCTTACTAGCTGCTAGAGTGATGCTGCATTAGAAAAAGTTTCAGGACAACTGAAACACTGGGCCATGCTGGCACCAAAGAATTTTAGAATCAAACAACAGTATAAGAAAATAAGGTAAGAAAGGAGGACTAGAGAAATTAAGACTCCATCTAGCAGGTTTTACCCATCTCTAGATTCTGTGATTTGCTGCTTTTAGCAGTCTGCATCACATTCACGTGCTGTTTGTATTTAACACAGATCATAGCAATCTGTCATACTCCCAGATATATAAATATATTGTGCCACATATCTTATACAGTGAATGACTGAGAACAGTAAGTGATCTCAGAAGGAAGGTGGTGGTGTGTGTTTACATATCACAAAGCAGGAGATAGCCCATAAAGGGCAGGCGACAGATAGAAAACTGTTACTCACAGGAGGTGGCAAAAGGAAATTAGAGAAAAGGAATACAAGAACGTCATCAGATTATGCTGGATTTATGTCACATCCTATATATAGCTCAGTGAGATTATTTTTTTTTAACATACTTATTTCGTTGCCTTCTGGCAGTAAAGAAATGATTTTTAGCAGAACTAGGAAGGACTTCATTGATGCCAAACAGAAATATTAGAAGGCTCATAATGCGCCTCAAAAGGATTTTCACCCACTTTTCATCTGCTCGTGGTCAGAAAAGAGCAGTGGAAGAATGAAGGCACGGCAACTACAAAGGGCACAACTGTTTCCGTTGGGCAACACACTGGTGTCCAGCTCCGTTACCATTGTTTCCAGGACGAAATAGGGGTCTGACAGCTGAGAGCAAAGATGATAAATCAGTAGAACTATTCCTGCTGTTAAGTGTCTGAAACATTTTCTTGCATGCAGTTTACATTCACCCACCTTGTGTCAAGATATACAACATCTTTGTTCAAGATTTGTTTTAAATTCAAAACTTCAAAGCTTATGTAATCCTAGTTGCATCTAAATAAAGATTTTAATTTTATTTTACAGGAGTCTCTGTAGGAAAAGAAAAATTCATAATGCAGATATATTGACAAAAAACTCTCCTAGGACATCAGCCTTAGTGTTCAAATTAATTCCTAATTCACCAGTTCCAATTATTACACTTCATTCCCAAGTCCATTGCTAATACTAGTATCAGTTTTGACTTTCTGAAAAAGGAATTGATCAACAAGTTTGCTGATGACACTGATTGATTCCACTGAGTAAGCAGGATTGATGCTCTCCAGGTGGAATTTTTGAAGCACTGCACAGGTCAACAACACTTAAAGTTTTATTTGTCTAATGAAAAACTGGCATGCACAAGAAAGAGCCAGAATAATACTCACATCAACATGACACTAGGGACAAAGCTCAAGAGAACTCTTCCTGACTGAAGCTGCTTACAGATCTTTACAAAACAAAAGAAGAGCTGAAAAGGCAAATTAAAAATAGTGTTTTCTATTTTTAAAAAATGTTAGAAAAAAAATTTGAGTTTTTACCAAGAGAAATCTGAATACATTAAGAATGTATTGTGGCTGAGCAAGACAGAAGACAAAATAAGCAAAAACGAGAGACAGACACTGGAAACTTCACTGATCAGTCCTCACTCATTGAGAACATTTATCTTTTCGAGAACACTCACCTGATATTAGTCTGCCAACTAGCTAGCAAAGATGAAAATATTTCAGTGACAGCTCCTGAAAACCACGCGTTTTAAATTCCAAACAAAGAACAGTATCTGGAACAGGCAAGGCCACAGGGGGAGGAAAAATGGAGAAAGAACCAGGATAAGGGCATCATGCAGAGCCCAGCACACACAGAAATCATGGAATGAAATCATGAAATGAAATCATGTATTTCAAGTGAAAGTTGCCCTCCAGAAAGATGAAACAAGAAGAACTGAGCAACAAAGTGCCTTTTAATACCAGCACGGCAGAAAGAGAGAATGGCAGCATTTTTTGTCTGAGGACACTTCACAAACCTGATACATTTTACTCAAGTATTATGGGCAGTATGTGTAAATTAAAATAACAAAAAACCTCAACAATCTCAAAACATAATTGAAATTGCTGCACAATGGATAAATTTTATGATACGCAACTTGCAAAATACAAAACTGGATCTCACAGCATGAATTTATAGCTACAAATGACTTTTTAAGCACAGAAGGTAAGTGTGATTGGTGATACAATAATCCTAGGCATGCTTTACCTATCAACAAGAAATAATTTCCAGACAAGCTTAGGGATATCTCATTTACAGTCTCACTGCCTGACCAATTAAGAGAACTGCAGCACAATATTGCTCCTAAAAAAAAAAAAAAAAAAAAAAAAGAAGAGCTTGACATTGAAGTTAAAGCTGGGTAACAATTTGGTTAAATACGAGGTAGTGTAACCCAGGAGAGAAGGGAACCTAAAAGGCCAAACGCTGCAGATTTGTAATACTGACTTTCACAGGGAAGTTGTCCTTCAAAGACCCTAAACAGCATATACACTCCACAACAGTTCCACTCTCCTCCTTCAAAAAGCTTTCCAGTCCTGTAATCAAATTAACCTTCTGTTTTGATTCCCATATGCACCTTTTGTTGGAAAATTCTCAATTTTAGTTGGTAAAGTTCATCTTCATATGAGGACAGAAAGCCTACAAAAAGTAATGCCAGTAGAAAAGACTAGCATCCCAGATTGCCAGCACCCATACAAAGGGTTTAGGAATCCAAGGTCTTAGGAAGCAGGAAGCATTTTCTTAATGTGGACAAAGGGCTGTGTGAAGGCGGTTTTGCTAACTGCTGTGTACAAGTCATTCTCGGCATGAGAGTGGTCTTTGCCAGAAAGACACTAATTTGATACCAAGAAGTATCATGAATCTCATTTGAAAAAGGCAACCACTCTCACCTTTGGGTGGATAAGGGCATTATGATACCTTTCTACCTAAAATGCCTTTGAAGATTTGTTTGCAAAGACAACAGAGACAGCTTTCTCTATGTTTATCTTATCTGAAAAAAGAATACAAAGTAGTTAGATACCAGTTCTCACCAATAAAAGCAAAAATTAAACTTTCATGAACCATTCTACATCACTTAGTCAATGCCTCTCATTCATTCCAAAGTAAACTGCCTATGTGAGCGGTACAGGCATATATGAACTGTGCAGTCAGGGAAGAAGTATTTATGATGTACATGTCATAGTAGGAGCCAGAAAGTCACAGTACTATGGCTGTACATCAGTAAGGAGTGAGGTGAATTGAATGCTTGCAAGCACACACAGAGTCACTCTCTCTGCAAAGAAAGTTACAACCCTCTCCATCCAGCCAAATGCCAAGACAGAGAGCTCTCAAAATCTGCATATCACTGAAAATATTTCACTCCAGAACACTTTGTAACCATTCTCCAAATGGTGTCTAGCAAGCTCTTCATGCTCAACAGCCAACTGGCTAGGTCCCAGAGGACCCTTGCACTGCTCTCTCCTGGAAGAGGGTAATGTGTCCTGACACTGACGCAGAGTAGAAGGGTAGGAATCTTTCACTGCCTCCACCATGTCACTGCTCATTTCATTACATAAACTGATGACTGCTTCAGGACTAGCCTGCAGTAATAAAAGCTCAGAGAAAGTCTTTTTTGCCTCTTAAAAGGACTCTGCTTCTAAGGAGAGCTAAACTTTGTGCCACTTTCACCACCATGCTAGCAGCACCTTGCTGAAAACACAAAGGTGCCATGCAGGTTGTCTGAAATAATGGTTGATCACACTTGAGAATTTCCCATTTATTCACAAAGCACTTTGACATTCATGGGCATGACTCATTCTACTCAGAAATTCCTCTACAAAACCAAATTTGGAAAGAACCTGCTGACAATTTTTAAAAGTTCAAATTTACAACATTTGAGTCTTTTAAACTTTGGATCCAGTTTGCCTCTCTTGTCACCTTAAGGGGGAAGACAGACTAGGTAAATTCAAAGAAAGGCAAAATAATGGTTATTTACAAGTGGCAGCACAAAGCAAAAACTAAGATTATTTAGTCTAGAAAGGAGGATTAGAAGGGATACAGCTGAATCCTTTCTTTCAACCCTGTCTCAAAATTCCATTTCATAAAGTCCCTATCAGCTAACATAATGTCAGCCACTGGAATCCCCAGCAGCAGAGTATTACAGCCCAGAAATTGGATTTTTTTTTTTTCCCAAGGAAAGGAAAATAATATAGACAGCATTAGAATTTACTCACACCAAGACAAAATCTGACACTGCAACATTTCATAGGCACACACAATTCAGAAGTGCCTTGAGAATGAGAGTTGGAGGAAGAGAAGAAAAAAATAGGAGAAAGAAAAGTAGGTTAGCTCTCCTTCAGCAGTTGCAGAAGTCAGGGAAAAGACCAATATCCTGAACTGCTCAAGCAAGACATGGTTGAAATTCAAGCCCCAGGAGTTATATACTTTGCTACCTGTTTCCACACAGACAGAATTTTACCAATTTACAACTGCCTTCATGCAGACAGTTATTAACCAAACTATTTCTGTTCATAATCCTGCAATAAACGTGTAGGAATTAGCCCCAACTACCATCATTTTAATTCATAAATAGTAGCAAAATAAGGAACAGTGAAGTATAGCTCTGGTCAAGTGAGATCTTTATTATTCCAAGTATTTACTAAAGGACAGTCTTCCTGGAAAACTTTCAGCACTCTGATGGTTCTTTTTCTTCTCTGAAATAGCAAAAGAATGTTCTACTGCATGTAAAAACCCTCCATCATTGCACAACTAGGGATGAAAATTATGGAGAGTTTTAAAAAAGTGACGAGGTGAGCGGAATTAAAGTTCAACTTCCCTATTACTCTGCAAAGGACTTTTAATTACATCCAATAAAAATATGATTAGGTTTAAAAATAAAAGAGAACTAAGTATAAAATAATAGTGTTCCACTAATTTTACTTTTCAAAATTAATGTTGCTGCACCTTCTATTTTTCTTCGAAGAAATGTCAGGCAGAAATATCAAACTGTCCTCAGGGAAAAATCACAGCATCTGAGATTTAAGAAGAATCCCATGCTCGAATGAGTTAGTGTACTACTATTCACTAGGGAGCAGTGTATTATGAAGAACAATGTAATAAAAGGCTTTTTTAATATTAGAATATACCTCTATATAATCAACAGTGGCAACAGTGTCCGAATAGCTCCAACATGTGACAATTTGTAACCAGGCTTCCCAGCAATCTACTCTTTATGACAGCCTTAACTAGACATTTTCTAACACGAGGTAGGATAAAATAGAGTTGCAAGCATGAAGAACTTCAGAAATTACTAAAATACTGTATAGTAAGAAATCCTATATTGGTACAAATTATTAGCAGGCAAAATGGTCCACTGGATGAGGATAATCAGAGAGAAAATATTCCTAGCTGCACCAGAGACTTATTGCATGACCTTGAGCAAGTAGCTTAATATCTGTGCCCAAATTTTCCTATATAAAAAGGACAGTAATGCTTGCCAACTATTGCACATACATATGAAATCTATGGCAAAAAGCATTTCATTAATACCTGAGAACCTGCACTTTGTTCTAGAAAAACTTTGCCTTTATAAATTCTTAGCATGGACACTAACTTTTAGCTCAAAGGACCTGAAATCACCTCACAAGACTTTCCCCTCTGATGCTGTGTGAAAGCCTGCCAAAGTCCCATGTGCTCCTCATTTTTATAGCCCCTATGCAAGAAGCAGATTTTCAGAGATTCTGAAGTGTTAGGGACACAGAACAGAAGAAAAATCTCCTCACTCAAATTCAACCTATTTTCTTCATGAATGCAACTTGCACTGGAATGAAACTTAGAAAAAAACTGTTGCTAACGCTGAGATACTTGCCTCTCCTTTCAAAGAACAGGGAGAACTTGAAGAAATTAATCAAAGCAAAAGAAAGTTTGGCTAGATAAGTTAAAATTACACTGGACTCTATTGCTCTACCTGTGCAAACAGACAAATACTGATTAACATGTTTCAGCCACAAGATCACCTATCCACCTTTAACAAGGCATTCCATAGAAAAGCTTACTCCTGACAAATAAGCACTACAAAGTTTCATAACAACTAAGTTTGTAATTTCCAAAAGACATGTGTTTATTTAAAGCACATAATACAAACAGCAAACAAAACCCAAGCCCTGTGACTAGGTTTATATGGATGAACTATGGTATGTCACAAAATTTTGGCTCTTGTTTTGATCTGTTTAGGAGATTGTGTGCCAGGAAGCAAAGAAAAGCCGATCAGGACGCTTCACTGTTCATACCTATTCTAAAAAGAAAAATTACCTTATGCAAATATTCATTTCCATAATGGAGTTCTACATTGCTTGACGTTAATTAGAGGAATGACTCTCCTTAAACATAATGCATTTTAAGGTGATGCTTATTCTTACCTGGCAAGTTCTTTAATTAAATTTGCAATGCGTCTCTTGTCCTCAAGACACAAATCCTTTAAAGAAGCACTCTTCATTGCTCCTTCATTAGTGACCTGAAAATTTAAAGTAACATTTTAGAAAGTACTCTTCATAGAAGAACAAATATTTCATAAGATATTAAAAAAGTATTTCAAGACCTAATTATTAGAAGTTGAAAAGTAGACAAATTCCAACTGGAAATAAAATACGTATTTTTTAAAATGTAAGTGCGGTTCAGTGAAATAAAATAAAATAATCTTCCACAATTTGGTAAGAGATTTGTAATTCAAATGCAAGCTGCAAGCTTCAATACTAAACATGTTGGGGAGTTTTTAAGACATACACTATTCATTGATTCATATTAGAAAAAGGGCAGTGATTTCTCAAGACTTAGAAATCTAGTGCGGCAATATCCAAAACCAAGTCCAAACTCTACTATATTAGGATCCTAATAAAGAGTAAGAAAAAAAAAACATTCTGCCTTTGTGTTTACAACCAAAGCATACAAACCAGCAAAAAAAGGTATGCAATGCATTTTTAGTAGATGGTAAGTCCTTATTTCAGTGATTTTAATACACAGAAAAGTACACACCCTTTAAAACGTCACTATCGGGCTTTTTTAACCACTTACTTGCTGCCTTCGCACTTACAACTCCTCAAAACAAACCTTTAACATACACCAGTACTTCGGTTGCTTTCATGCATTCCCTTATCACACTGAGAACTGCAGCATTTGTTGCCAATACCCACCAGAGGGCATGTTGCTCTTCGCGTTGCTCATGGTCCCTTGTATTATTGATATTATTAGCATGACCTTTTTTGGGTGTTTCCAAGCAGGAAACAGTTCTAAATTGTTTATATTTACAAAAAAATTTCAGGCACCGGTGACTCAGTTCTTCAGTGGTAGTGACAAACACAAATTAAGGATCCACAAATTGAAAGCAGCAATAAGAGCTATGCTGTTCTGTCCAAGATGTTGGCAAGTGGCACTTAACATGAGATACAAGATGTTACCAAATGCCTTGCAGTTTGGCCAAGGTAACACAACACAGCACAGAACAACCTCTGCCCATACAAAGCAAACACTGGGTTTATCTCCCCTCATTAGCAGTAACAGCAGCTGATCGACACACCTGAGAGAGAAGTGCCCCCTTTCATCCTTAGCTAATTGCTTCCTAAACAGTGATTTGAAACAATTGAAGGACTATATTGCTTTTGAAAGAGGTCATAATTTTACACAGACTTATGTTATACCCACCTGAACCTTCAATACACTGTTATTTTAACTTGGCGGGGGGGGGGGGAAGTTTCACAAGGCAAATTAGACTTCAGGGCTTTGCAAGGGGACATTTGATTTTGCAGTTTCTTTCCCAAACATATGCTATTTACAGTCACACAAATGAAGAGAAAATGTCTTTAACTGAATTTAACTTCAGCTAAACATATGGTTGAAGGATTTCCATATTCCACGCTAAAAATGTCTGAAAAATCAGGGATTTTTTAGCAGTTAGATGAAACTTCTTTAAGAAAAATTAAAAGTTACATTTTTCACTCAAAAAAGAAGCAGAAGCTTGATCACATTAGTGAAGGAGATTTTAGCAGAAGGCACCACAAGCTATTATCCAAACCTATCTACATACTGTCAGACAAACATTTGTGGGATGAAGAGGAAAATCTAAAAGTGTTACTCTATGCTTTTTTGTACCACCCACAGGTATGGATAGATGGCACACAAAAAAACTCCAAGGCATGTTTGTACCAACACGAATGTCAAAATGAAGCTTTACAATTATGCACAGCAACAAAAAAAACATCAAAACAAGAGAACAAATGAGATAGAGGCCAAGACTGTATAGTCTCCTTTCAGATTTCTGTTCTTTCTACACAGCTGAGAGTAGAACAGTTTCATAATTCCATATTTTCTGGATTAAATGTACTACATAAATGGAAGATTCTCTCAATTTATAAACCACACCTTGGCAGACAAGAATTTGTATGAGAGAAGCAGACAACTTCTGTCAAACAGAAAGTAGGAAGAGGGGAAACTTGGTCACGGCCAGTATGGCAAACCACTGATTTATGAAAAGTGCCAAAAAATCTCCAGAGCTAACAAAACCTTTTTGAAATCTTCCCCAAAATTCTCACCCACCTTTGTGATACTCAAGTCTATCCGAACAAAAAGGTAGATAAGTTCTGCCAAGATTCACATTAGAGCAAAACTCAATCCATTCTCCTCAAAAGAGGATTCTCATAAATCGTAATGGTGAACTACCTACCAGTACAATACTGTAACTTGTTACAACAGTACAAGTATATTAAAGTGATCAGCTCTCCCTAGACATGCACACAACACCTTGGAAGAAAATTAGTTGTGCTGGCAATGAAAACTCCTTGCAAAAGAACTTTGTGAAATCTTCTTCTGTAACAAGTAAAATGTTTTTTTTCCTGTTTGTTTCAAGTAATTCAGAGCTTATCTTCAAAGTTAAGAGTACAGTTTCCATGAGGATTTGGCAAGGTAAGAGAAAAAACAGAAGGTTAAAAAAGAAAGAGAAAAAATTTCACCACATTTTATTGTCAATTTTATAAAAGCACATTTGAATCTCCAATTAAGATTTTGGGTATTAGGCATTATATAAAAAACCAAAGACCATTTCTACACCATCAGCTCTCACAAGGAAATAGAAGTAAAAATTCTCTAGACAACAAGTAATGCAAACAACACTTATTTTTTAAATTAGATTTCATTTTTAAGTTTTTAATGTGACATATGAAGGCATCTATGAGGCAGTGGGCTTGTGGATACTTAAGACGAGATGCTTCTACATAAAGATTCTACATAATGGGGGCTATTTGTGAAATTTCTCTGTATGTCACTTAACTGCATCATTTGCAAAGTGTAGGTACATACCAGCCTCCTAAAAGCAAGTACTGATAAACAGAGAAATGGAAAGGGACAAGTCCAGGAGGGGCCCTAAAAATGAATACCAGTTATTAGAGTGTCATGCTGAAGGATTTGAAATACTGGCTATTAGAGTGTCACATTGAAGTATTCAAAGGACAATAACAGTGTCAAAGCAGTGAGACTTGAATGATCTGTGTTCACATCAGAGTTTTGAATGTACATGTGAGGCACACAACATTTACTCAGCACACAGAAGACAGAGAAGGACATCTTAGCCCAGATGAAGAACAAGATTTAGCTGCATGATAACACAACAGTGATTCAGTCACAGGTTTTAGATCCTGCCTGTAAATGGGAGGATACCAAACTGTAATGACTTACAGGCTTGCTCAGGATGACTACTAGGCAAGAGACTTAACAGTACTCAAATGGCATAGTCACTGTGCTATACAAATTATGTTAGAAAAATGGCATCTCTCAACAGATTTCTCAATATCACAATTACCTATCACAATACAGAATCACCTTCCAAAGGAAAAACCCCTGCTTTGAAATTTCTAATGCAATAAACTGTAGGAAAAGCATCACCTATTGTCACAGGAGTAGACCAGACAATTTAAAGCGGAGCCAAAGATAATGTCAGCTGACAAAGTTACTCTTACTATTCAGATGCATTTTTAACTTTTAACTTCTATCAAAAATAGTAAGTGATTTTACCCTGCTAACATGAACAGCCACAGCAAAAAGGTCTCTAAAAATAATTTTACAAGTCTTGTTTCTAAGTGATATGTCTACAGCAATGAAGCTGAATAGACTGAAACACAACTTTTCGCATGTTTCACTAGTAATATATGGATTAGGGGCTACTCAAAACTACACTCACTCTCTCTGTACACATACACACATAGAAATAATCTGTTTTACATAGCCCCAGTTACATATTACTTACATAAATTAGTACAGTCTTTGTTCTTTTTAGATGGGCAAGCAATCTCAGACAGGTAATTTTTGCCCAGCGAGCCACCATGTAAGTGGGCAAAAAGTGCCAGAGATTGAAAAAATAATAGGATTTTAAAACTGTTTAAAAAACTTTTCAATCTAATGATTTTCTACCATTTTTTTACTATGTGCAGTCTTAAGAGCAAGAAAAAAATGCCTTTACTGACCTGCTCCCCTGTCAGATCTCCTGTGCTTCTAACAGGATCCACAGAAACAGAAGTAACAGCTGCAGGCACCTTTAGACATGTTTCACTTTTTTTATATTTTGGCAAATTGCTTGTTCTTAAATTTCCTTTTGTAGACTCTCCTGTAAATGAAAGACAAGCAGAACACACAGATATAAAGTCAAAAGTGACCCTTCTCTTGCCTCCTACAATAGGACTTTCACAGAGGCATCCATGTCTTAGCAGCTCTTTTTGAAAAGAATGAGCATTTCAGGTATACGTCTGCAATTCCTCCCAGCCTCTCACTCCATATAAACTTTTATTAAGAGGAACATATCCACAGAAAAAGAGGTGCACAGCACTGAAGTGCACCCAGCCACAATGAACATTCAGAGCAAAAACTGAAACATACATGTTGTCTTCTGAATGCACTTCAGTGCAAAAACCAGTGTTTAAGATGCAAAAGCAGAAAATTGAGCCTCTGTTTTGCCACTCTAGAACAAATAAGAACGAAGCAGCAGTAATGCTATTAAGAGTACCACTCAATACAATAAAACAAAACTTTTTTCTGTTATAAAGCCAGCCTATTCATTGTTCAGGCTAATGTTCCTTTCAGGACCAGGAAGTTGAGTAAGGTAACACTGCAGAGCACACTCCACAGATAACATGTAAAAAACTTCCTGCCATATTAAAATTAGCTCACTGCTGCCAATGGGTAACAGCATGAAAGCACTGAAAATCCTGGTGCTGCAATGGTAATGTGTCAACACTGACACTAACACTAAAACCTCCCAGGGCCAGAAGAAATCCAATAGCTTCTTGGTACTGCCTCAAGGTTTGAGTTTTGACTGTTCACAAGCACAAAAAGTGTTGAACAAAAAAATACTGATTTTATACTAGCAGATAGATTACATTTATCTGTGTAATTAATTTCACAAGTGTACCAGCAATTCAAATGAAAGAACTAAATTACAAGCTTAACATCTCCATGCCTATACACAAGGGAAAACAATGTTTCCAAAATTCTGTTCCACAGAAGCAGAAAAATATTTCCCAGAGTGAATCCATTTCCATCATTTAGGATAACTGCTTTCTTTCCAGGGCACAGCATTTATCAATCTGACATCGCCTACCTTGAACTATGCTAGCTACAAAACTCACGCTGAGATTTTGAATAGAGCTGTTTGGCCAGTAGTTTTGAAAGGCAACCATGGTAGTCCAAACCTAGAGAGGAGGATTCCTCAAAATTTATAACTGGTCGACATATATACAATTTTACTAGAGTTAATGATCCCCAGATATGTTTTCAGGACCTGACACTGTAAAACCTGTGTTTGAAAACAATTAGAAAATTCTGAAGGGGGACTAAGAACACCCATCTTTTCCCCAGGGATGTTCACAAGCATGCACTCAGTCAATCAAGCTCGAGAGAACTATAACAAAAAATTTTATTTTTCTTTACACAGTGAGTCTTCATTTTCATTGTTCTCTTCAAAATTTACAAAATATCTGAATATCTCTAATGCTTCAACATTCTTTAGAGACCATGTTAAAAATTCAGCTTACCTCATAGATTGGATACAACTATGCTGTACCTGCAATAGGAACAGCTCCCCCAAAACTGGTCATTTTTATACCATATGCTTATCTAAGCAGCAGAGCATAAATCCTCTGCTATAATCCTGTATGTCCCATTACAACCTGTGATGACTCTCTACCTTACATACACAAGCCACATACCTGGAAAGCCATTGCAAAGTTTAGCTTTCACAAAAAAACACTTTGTTTACAGCTATTGGAAGGTCATACCTGAAACTGGCTGTTCTTCATCAAAAACTGCGTGTGGCTTTGTTAAAGGTAATAAACAAAAACAGAGCAACTTGGCCCTTTAAAGAGAACTATAAAATTAAATATTTTAGCTCTTGATTTTAAAATACTGTTGATAAGAAAACAAACTGGCAACCCCTTGGGAACACCAAAGGCAGTAAAACTTGACTAGAAAAAACAAACAACACACAGATTACTAAAACAAAAGCATTACTCCTTTTTCACTGTGAATTAACTTTCAGCCTGTAAGGATTACCTTAGAGGTCACCTTCACAAAAGATCCCAGGGACCAGCCCCAGTGACAAGTGCAATTACTAAGATAATGAAGTAATAATATTTATTTAAATTAGAGCAGGTTATAGTTATATAAGGAACCTCTTGATAATGTAGAGATGAAATTCCAAAATAGAATGTATCCATACTATGATGAAATACATTTTTTACAATATATTCTAAGAAACATAAATGAGAATAAATGCAAAAGGTTTCAAAGGAAATTGGTCATTCTCATCTGATCATTACATGATGAGTAACAGATGAAAGCCTGAGAACTGATTTTCTTTAACAAGTTTCAAGAATTTTCAAATAACCCAGAACTTTAATTATTAAATTACTTGACTGCAGAAAACACTTAAAAATTACAAAGGAACAGGCACCATGTTATCTGTGCTATGTTAGCAGTAACTGAACTTGAATCTTCACCTCCTAGAAGTCATTAAAAATAGGACTCAACACAGTTCAGGGAAGGGTGTAAACCATAGTGTCTTCCTTAAGCAACAGTTTCACTTGGCTGAATGTAAAGATTTTATTCCCACATAAGTAACTAACATTCTAATAAAGTGAAAAACACAGGGTACACAATTCTGCTCTGCTATCTTTTGTTTATATTCCTTTATTTTCCTCAACCTTCTAAGGCTGGCAACTTAATTACCTAATTTTGGTACTATTTACAGATAAACACATTTAAGGTTTTGCAGCCATCTTCATATGGTAAAGACAAACTCAGTTAACCTATACAAACTCTTGCCTTCACTGAAATTTGATTTTGATAGTACCATCTCAAAAACTTAATTTAATAAATTATCACACAGTGGGGAAAACTAGCAACAGTCTAGAAGCTTCCTCCTGTGGACAGCAATTTCAAATTCAAATCAATAACCACTATCCCATCACACAACTGGTACTTGGCACACTGGGAGGGTTTGATCACAGTCTCACTTGTGATCTTGTTGATCCAGTTTATCACTTGTAAAAAATTATTACTCATTGGTCTCACAGCAGAGAGAGTATGTTCACTTATGTCAAGTCATCTCTCTCTATAAATGCTGAAAGCACTTTTTTTCTCACTGGTAAGCTGCAGCCTGCTATCTCTAGGTGCCACAACACATGACGGGGTCCTGCCATGAACAAGGTGAGGCAGTTGGACAAGCTCTGAAAGTAAAGCACTCTGACCTCTCCTTCCAAAAAAGCACCGAAGTAGATCAAAAGTTCAAGCCTGGATCACAGCCCAGCCCAACAGCTGTGTCAGCACAACTACAACAGCAATCTTCAGGACCCTGAGAACTTCAATACATCTTCAACTTGTACTACTATAGGAAACAACAAACTTCAGCACAGGCAACTGCTTTCTCAACTGATGTATGGTTAATCTGTATGACAATACACAGCTATAGAAAATCAGTTTGATTTGCCTAAACATCTGGCTTTTGAAGTTTTCCTCCAGTATTGGCACTGTTGTGGATAGATACCTAGGAGCAGGGTGAAAAAAAATTAGTCAAAGCTGTTGCTGTTACTCCTGGAGCTATCAGGATCACTCTCTCATGAAGGCTTGTGGACTAACGTAATTAGAATAAACCAAATTCAGACCAGCTTACCTTAATCAGCTGGACTGAAAATTGCAGTGACTCAGGAGCTGATTCATAAACAGGTCCAACAGCCTTGTCTCAGGGTGAAAGACTGGGGACACTATCAGCATCAACCATTTAACATTAATCCACTGCCACATGCCTCTCAGGAGTCCCACTAAGGTGACTATACACATTAAAAACCTTGTCCCATCACAGCTAGTGTTCAAGGCAAAAGGAGAGACAGTCACACAGGCATCAGAGAATATGAACATCCTGTGAAGCTGTATGGCTCCCCTATGGCAAGCAACAGTGCATTTGCCTTGCTATGTTTTATCTATTCAGCAATTATAGAGACACATTCAGTTTTCCAAAGCTATTAAACCAACATTACCAAATCTCCCACATTTCCCACCCCCACCCTTTTTGAAAGCATTTGTAATTATTTGTTCTTGTGCCATAGGCTTTGCTGGGTATTTAAACTTTTCCAAGATCAGAGGCAACACTACCTACTTGCAAAACCATGCAAAATGGAAATGGTTGTCAGGAAAAGCCTCATTCCTTGGAATATCATGATGCATTAGGACACTGCTGGGCTCAAAACAACATATTTAATATCATGGTTTAAACCCAGCTAGCAGCCAAACACTACACCGCCGCTCACTTACCCTCCCTCAGCCCAGAGAGGGAGACAATTGTTAGCAAGACAAGTAGTTAGACTCGTAGGATGAGATAAAAACAATTTCATAACTGAAATAAAATAAAAATAATAGAAAATAAAAATGAGCAATGCACAGGGGAATTGCCCACTCCCCACGGATCAATGCCCATCCCATTCCCAGCTAACGATCCCAGAGCAGTTCCCAAAAGCATAATCCTGGAAGTGGGAGAGTCAGCTTCCTGGCCAAACCTCATCTGTACACTGAACATGATGTTATATGATATGGGATATTTCATTGGCCAGTTTGGGTGGGTTGTTCTGACTGTGCTCCTTCCCAGATTCTTCTGCACCTGCACATGGGCAGGACAGGGGAAGTTGGAAAGTCACAGAATCATAGACAGGTTTGTGTCTATGATTCTAAATCTACCCTCTTTCACTTCAAAACCATTACTCCTTCTCCTATCCCTACACTCCCTGATAAAGTCTCTCTCCATCTTTCCTGTAGCCCCTTTAAGTACTGGAAGGCCGCTATAAGATCTCCCTGGAGCTTTCTCTTCTCCAGGCTGAACACCCCCAACTCTCTCAGCCTGTCCTCACAGGGGAGGTGCTCCAGCCCTCTGCTCATCTCCGTGGCCTCCTCTGGACCCACTCAAGCAGGTCCATGTCCTTCTTACACTGAGAGCCCCAGAGCTGGACACAGCACTGCAGTGGGGGTTCCACAAGAGCAGAACAGAGGGAGAGAATCCCCTCCCACAACTGGAACCTGCATGTCTTCTGCACACAAAGCCACCACAGCCTCCCTCTCGTCCCTCACAGATCGAGCACAGGCTTACCCTAAATATCATGCTTGTACTCAAGCACAGGCACCATTAGCCCAAGACACATCTTTTTCTTGCTGACTGTTCAGCCACTAAAATTGGCATCTCACTGTTGATCCCCTTGCAAGTTTCCATAATCTGAACCCAATTCCCACATTTTCTACATTTACCTCCCACAGGACTTCGCGGCGAGGCCACCCAAGCCCCCCTCCTCTTGAAGGCCACCTTTACTTTTAAGCCCTACATAACGCTCCTCCCCTCCCACCCCT